ACTTTCTTCCTCACAGACCTTGTAGTCAAGGAATACGATACTACAGAATTATATCCCATGTTCAATGCATCTGCTGGTTAAACCGGATTCCCATCTTTGAACCAGTGTCTAGAATTCAGTCCCAATTTATTTGAATTCATTCCAAGTCTCCTTCTCAGATTTAGAGAATTCAAACATGATGTTACTGCAGACACTGTAAAGGCTTTTTTGCAAGTGAGCATTTGGCCGGAAGAATGGAACTATATGAGATTCTTCTGGTGGAATGATAGCAGTTGTAAAGAAATTAAGGTAATGCAACACAACAGATTGGTCTTTAGTGTTGAGCTGATCAAGAGTAGCCCTTTTCTTTTGGGAGTAGTCCTAGATTATTATTTGGGAAAGATATTTGAATGATGTCCGACATAATCAATCTTCTTTTGACAGGGTTCATACACATTTCTGCACAAGGAATTTAAGGACTTTTAGGATCATTAATGAAAAAAATTAAGGACCTACAAGCAAATGGAAACTGAATAAATTCAATTAAAAATATTATATCTATGCCTAAACGAGAGTAGCATGCATTATTATTAAACATAACTTAATTAACATAATTATTAATATGTTTGAGAATAAAATTAATTTTATGAAATTTATCAAGTAGCATTTAATAGTATTTTACACTCATAATAACTGGACACATCTGAAAGAAGATAAGTGACATTTTAGTTACATTTTACTAACAGTAAGCTTTTTTTTTTTTTTTTTTTAATGTCTCATTTTGTCACATACTTGCTCAGTCTAGAGGTTTAGTAAATAGTAAGTAGATTTTATGTCAAGCAGCATAGGTTAAAATGAGCATTAAAATCATAATCAGCATGATTTATAACAAAAGACTGGCTGTTGTCACCACTCCTGCTTTCCTATAGAGAGGCCTTCTGATCAGAACAAACCTGAAAGGCCTGATGTAGGTACAGTTAGCAAGTTTTGAAAGTTAGCTGACCTTTGTCTCACACAGTTAGTGTCGTAGCTTCGTGTAGAATTCCAGGGGTTGTAACTCAGTTAATATACTTTAAGGTTCTATTAACCCACTAAAGCATTAGCGGTGATAAGTTGTTTTGCATTAAGTCTCACTAGATGCAAAGAATAAGTTTCACATGAATTTTTATATTTTTGTGTTTTACCTTGCGACTACGGTAAAGGTTCAATACGCTGAGCCCAGCGCCGAATTTGCTATCCTTTCCGTTCAACCGGCGGCAATATTGAGATCAAGCGGTGTAATATTGCTGACCTAAATTATTCATAAATTATACAAAAAGGAAGGAGATGCACATAAAGTTCAAAAGTATTGTTTGAAATGCTATGATGACAATTCAAAACTATTTGGATGCAAGATAGCCAAAAATATTACCAAAATAGTTATTTCGTATTGTAATATGTGTAAAGCTAAGCCGTATTTTTGTTTAGAATGTTTCAATAAATTTCATTAAAACTAGAATTGATCACATTTCATTGAGACTATACTTATTTTTTAACTTTAATACTGTCTGTCGGTCACGCAGTCCCCAGAGAAATGGGGGAAATTCTCACCATGAAAAAATTAAAGAGACATTTTTAATTAATTACACAGCTATTTTGCTTTTGCTAACAACTGTTTTGTAAACTGTGCTTTATAGCATTATTCCTTGCTTATTTTTCAGATTCAAAAAATTTTATAATATGTGGCCAAAATAGAACTTTTAACATGACATTGAAAAACAAAAATGCTTTATTTTAATGTTATTTCTTAAATATAATTCCAATATATTACCATTATTTTAATGAAATTTATCAATGTTAGAATGTTCTAAAAAAATCGTCAAAAAATTCCCAGATCTCGGAATTAAAATTTTTCTATAGAAATCGATCTTAAAATTGCCAAATTTAGAACCGTTTAATAAAAGAATTCACATCCCCAAAAGCAGAAAGTTGTTTGAGAGCTCTTCGTTACAAAAAATGAAATAATTTTGAAATGCTTATGTTTCACTTCTTGCTCAGAAACTCGAGTATCCCACCATTACTGATATTACAAATAGGAACAAATTATAACTCATGAACCCATTCAAAAAAATAGCCATATTTGCCAGTGAATCGCCAAAAATATTTCTGCAAAGTGCTAATTCACACTCAAAATGGCAGTCGTAAAAATAGACAGAAATTTCAGATGATTAAAATTAAGGACCTTCTGCCGATTTAGGCCAAAATTAAGAACTTTTAAGGACCAAAAATCAATTCCGAAAAACTTAAGGACTTTTAAGGACTCTTAAGGACCATACGGACCCTGTTTTGAGTGTCTATGGCCAGAATTTTGTAACGAGCTTAAATGATATATGTGATCTATTACCCTTCATTGAGATGTTTTAAGTCATACTGAGTGAAGTAAAATTCAGTTTGAGAGGTTGGCAGTATACCAATGATAATGATCCTCAACCATTTACTTCTGTGTTAAGACTTTTATGAGATAGAAAAAAAGATATAATGATAAATCTGGACTGTTAGACAGCTATAAATTTGAAACTTTGTCCAAAATAATGTAACTCATACAGTATTTAATCCTGTTGGTTAATTATGCTTGCTGATACCCAAATTATTGCTGCAAAGGATGTGGAAAGAAAACATACCTTGGGACTCTGAAATCAATGCTAAGATGAAAAAGGAATTTATAAGCTGGTTTTCAGAACTTCATTTGCTGAAGGAAGTGTCCGTATCATAGTGTTTACCGATTGATCCAAGCAGACAAAACATTTTTCTGCATACATTTTGTAATGCTAGTCATTTCAGCCTTCACAGCAGCTGTTTACACTTGCAAGGAAACCTCTGAGAATGTCCCACCTCCTAGAGGCCAAAGCTAGCGTGGCTTCTATAAAATCCATGACTATCCCTAAACAAGAGCTGATGGCTGCTATGGTGGGAGCTCGATTGTGCACATCTGTTGTAAAAAGGCTTCAATGGAAACAAGTGGAACAATATTATTGGATCCATTCCACAGATGGGTGGAATCAACATAAAGAATCTTGAATGGTATTTGTGAACAACAAAGTTAATGAAATAAATAGTTTAACGGATCCTCTTGCATAGAAACACCTTAACAGAATCCAGCTGATTTACCTTCGTGAGAATGTTCCACTAGACAACTGTTATCAAGTAAATGGTGGGAGAGGTCCACTTGGTTATTAGAACCTTCATCTAACTGGCCCATCACAGAAAATTTTGATTAAAAAATTTTTATGAATATTCTACAGCCAAGGAAAGGAGATAAATCTGATGGGCATTTCTTCTATATGTTTCTTTAAGTTACTCAAATACTTGTAGCTGCAAAACTGATGAAAAGAAAAATAATGAATGCAGACATTACTGATCAAGTTGATTATTTTTCAAGCTATGACAAAGTAATACAGTTGATTACTTTGATAAAAAGATTTATTTTTAAATTGTCTAAATGAATTATTGGAGAATTATCCTACGAAGAAGTTAAAAATGCAGAAAAGAAGGTCATGTTGTTAATGCAAAAACGAGAAAATTAGAATGACTGACAACGGTATTGTGTGATGTAGAATTTGTGATTAACTTTCATCCACTTTTCTGTAAATGCAACGTATTAATTTTATTTAAAATGTATTTTCATGATTGGCAACAACAGTTTTTTTAGAACGGTAATGATTTATTTGAACTATAATGTTTTTGAGCAGTAATGTTGACGGTAATGTTTCTGAATAAAGCAAGTATCTAACAATTAATGTTTGAACGGTAATGTTTGACGGAATGTGTTTTTAATAAAGGAACTAATTAATTGCTAACATTTCTGGTTTCAGAAAAAGGTTCTGAACATATTTTGCCTTCCAACTCATTTTTACAAGATTTCCCCAAATCGGGCATTCTTGATTTGGATGAGATTGATGAAAGTTCCCTCAACAACAGATTAAAATATCATCAACAACTAATCACTGATTGTATTTTGTCTCCTAACTCATTTTTACAGGATTTCCCATAATCAGGCATTCTTGATTTGGATGAGATAGATGAAAGTTCTCTCAACAAGAGATTAAAATATCATCAACAATTAATCACTGATATATGAAAAAGATTCAGATCTGAATATCTAGTACTTTTGATTCAAAGGCATGATTTGACGAAGCAGAACAAAGTATTAAACTTGGAGACATAGTTCCTTATTGGAAGAGATAACGTTAAATGTACTGAGTGGCTGTTAGTCATTCTTACAGAGTTATTACCTGGAAGGCTTTCTTTTCATTCTGGTCTAAAATAAGCTCTCAGAGAATTAAAAGATCTAAAGCAAGTGCAGATTTTTATCATTAATTGCTTATAAAAATATTAGAATTTAGCAAAACGTTTACCAAAACTAAAAATTTTTTAAGTCGAAGTTCTATGAAACCATACAAACTGACTAAATCCCCCTCTGATTTATGCTAATTAAGTAATTCCATTACAACTAATTCAGAACAGCTTTATTTTCATACCATGAATCATCAACAAATACTTTTCTTCATAAGTTGCCAAAAGATTACAGTAAAGATTTCTAGTATACCTGATAATTGTTAGACTTTGTTTTTGATAAATATCGTGAACAGTCAGGAGACATAAATTAACAATTAAACAAATTATGATTAAAATTATTATTAACAATGAATATATCCATTTTGAAAACAAAATTATATATTTAATGCAGTATGTACTACACACCTAAATATAAAGTTTGGGAAAATTACATTTAATAAATACATAAAATAATTAAAATGCAAAATACAATTAAAATACATAATTTTATTTATATTTCGACATTAGGAATATCTTCAGAAATATTTAATAATTAGCACAAATAAGCAAAAATTTATTCCTGACTAGAGTTTGAAGCTTCATCAAAGCGCTAGTGATAAATGTTTGGTTATTTGTGCTAATTTTTATGATGATTTCTTTCATTTATTTAAAGTAAATCCATACTTTACAAAAAAGAAAAAAATTACCTTTCCTGGTATAAAGCAACACAAATTCAAGTCCACAAACTTCATAAAAGTCATTCTAAGCAGAGACAAACGTGTTTCAACAGCTGTCAAAATATCAGAATGTCTTGCCAAAGCATGTTTTCGTCTTTCTGACTCTCTTCGTGGCAGCTGAGTTTTAACCTTTCGCAAACACTGAGCATGATATCTCTCAGCTTTATGGAAACCACGGTTTAAAACTCTTTGTGATACAGAATTGAATCTTCGACATACCTATAAATACATAAAAAATTATAAGGCACAAGATGGAACAATTGAATTAAAATCCTCCTAAAATACTGACATTGGTAATAAAGTAGCAAATAAGAAAAGAAGCTTTAAGTTAAAATTATACTCATTTAAACCAATAAAATAGTAAGTTACTACTTAATTTTCACAGCCTCTGTTATCAAAACGACGCCAAGATTATCACCAAGTTTAAGCTATTTACATATAGTTTCAGACTGCCATATGTCAGTGACTGCTTTTAATATGGCATCAAAAGGCTTATCTTTCCCAGAGGATTTCTGCCACCGTGAATTCCGAAAGATACAATTCTAGATCATATTGAGCCTTACCACTTTGCTTTTTGCTTCACCACTTAACAGGGCTTAACAATCTGTCCATATTTTTAAGTGCGAGTACCCATTGTTGGATCAAAAAAGATTTAATGTATGATTCATAGTTAAATGGCCGAAACCAGCTTTTTCAAGTTCTTCTATTTCGTAGGTTAGCCAACAATCTGAACACATTGTTGTTCCTTCCACAAGGTAGTCTACAATTATTGATATCAGTCTGCTTGCTTCCCAATTTGGAACCTGAACAAGAAAGTACTCAGGACTTTCACAGCATAAGGCCCACCAGCGGCCGAGCGGCAAAGTCGCTGAACACTGGTAGTTCGGTCCGAGGTTTGAATCCCGCGAACGGGCTGGCTGCATGGGCGTTTTCGTGGTTTTCCCCATGTGTAACGTGTATACGAGCCAGTTGTCCTTAGAAAGTCCTCCACGAAGGCATCCCTCCCCTTAGGCAGATAGCCCTCGAGGCTTTGCCATAATTACACACACACGCTTTCACAGCATAACCCAACGAACATCCACTGTTGTGGATGTACACTGCCAGCATTTCTTTTTTTTTTTTTTTTTTTTTCTTTGCCACATGAACAAACTTTCATCAATTTGAACTATTTTTCCAGAAACACCTATCTGTCCCTTAGGTTGTCGAAGTAAATCTAGAGAACAAAACTTTCTCGTAAAATTGTTCCAATCAATCACGATATTTTGATACACACTGAGCCATTTATCACACCAATTAAATATGTTCATCTGCCCAACAGTAAATGAAACACATGCTATTAGGAATAGTATTCTACAATTCTAGACACCTTTCTCATAAAATTGTTCCAATCAATTGTAGTATTTTTATTTATACCACCATTTAAATGATGTTAGTTCCTCTGCCCAACAGTACATGAAACACATGCTGTTAGGAATGGTATTCTCGAATCACTAAACCAGTTGTCAGACTGAATGCCGTTTTTTTGTTCACAACTTTTTACATTGAATTTCCATATAGTTTTGTTTACATATCATTTCATTTCATAGAATTTGTGCAAATTCGATTGCAAGACATAGTTAAATGCAAGGTAATGTTTACACTATTTACAAGTTTTATAAACAACCAGATAACAATTTTAAATTATGTATGTAAATTAAAGTTCAGAATGAATTTCAGTCTCAGGCTTTTCATTAAGTTACACCCAAGTTAATTACTTTTTCACTGCAATTCTCAGATGTATTTCTGTTTTGCATATCACAGTCATAAGATGCAACGTCACTACCAGTTTCTATCAACTCAACAGTTGCATTTTCACTTTCTGCCATCTCTTATGTCAGGCACTTAAAAATCCAAAAGCTCCTTAATCATTTCTTCTCTTTCTTTAATCTCGTTAGATGTCACACACTTCATTAACTGTTTCCTTCATTTCTCCATCCTCTGATTATTCAGATGCCTCTACTATCATTTCCACAACCTTTATTTTGGCTCCAATTTTCTCCCTAAACTCCAAGATGTTACTTCCAATGTTCTTTCGCTTCACTTCCATCTGCTGAAGTTGCTCTTACAGCTTTTCTTGTCTGGCTTTTATTTCTTAACACGATTTTATTTTGATCACTAAATCTTCCTGTCCAACTTTCATCTTTTCATATCCAGCTTTCCTCTCAGCTAACAAGTTCATCAGAGCCTTAATTTCCTGCAGGTAGGCCACTAGTGTTCACTTGCAAATCCCACTTCTGACACCAGTTGTTGTGTTTTTCGGATTCATGGATTTGGAGTGACCCAAAATATTTATTTTAAACATATTTTCTTCTGAATATTCTTTAATCAGAAAACAATTATATGTTATTCAAGAGCCTAATAAAATAAAGTTTTCAATTAAAAAAATAGGTGAAAGGGCAAACATTTATTTTATTTTGTTGATATAAATATCGAAAAACTAGTATCTACTCATGGCCAATTACATCTAATAAAATATAATCTAAAAATTTTAAATTTTGTTTGGTTAGAGTAGATTGAAGACTTGTATTATCACATTGTTGTTGTTTCATTTATGGTAACCCGGACGCCTATTCTATGATCACTGGATCTGTCTACAACTTGAGCGAACAATATTGACTAAAAAAAAAAACGGTATGGACAGCCATCACAACTTATCGGAGAAAGCCATTCTGTGGTCCTCAGTTGGCGGCCGGGTGGGTCCATTTAACTTTTACTGAAAGGGGGGAAAGCTTCAAGGAGCTTTAGATCAATCGCAGCACAGACCAGTGACGAAATTTATAGCGCGCGCTGGCTGAAGTTCTAGGAATATTCTTTCATTGTTTCACTAACTCACAGGCTGCATTTGTAGTTCGAAAAAAATGGCACACAACAGTATTATGACCAACATGCAGCAGAATATGCTGCTGTGTTATGTGAAGGAAAATCCTGTTTTTTAAGAAGAAAGTTAACGCAGGAATTAAGGGCTAAGAGTGATATGGGATACCATGAAAGCAACGGCAAATAGATGAGAGTAAATGAATTAAGCTTACTTAAATCTTTTTAGAAATAAAAATTTTAATCATTTAAATTTATAATATGATTAATTTTCTAAATAGCAAAATAAGTTTTTTTTTTTTTTTTTTTTTTTCCCTTCCCATGCTTACAGTAAAACTGTTTTCCCACAATTTATTTTACAGTTAATATTAGAAAAATATTTCCTTAAATAAGAAATTACAAAGAAAATATTTCTTTCTTAATTTTTCTTCCCTTTTCTTATTTTATTTTATTTTTTTTTTTTACCCCCTAAAAAATTATTTCTTTCAGGAAAAGAAAATTCATTCACTATTACAGTATGGCCGATTGCTGCTGCATTCAACTATCACACACGCATCAAAATGTTTTATTTTAAATAATTTATTCTATAATTAACATTATTACTAAAAAAATAAGAAAATATTTCTTCAATATAAAATATATATATACAAAATTATACTAATCTATCCTGTATATGTGATTAATTGCAATTTTTGTCACACAGTTACTTATACTTTTTTTTTAATATTACATTGTTGTTTTTTTTAATACTAATAGATTACGAAAGTACTATTCCATGAACAAACCCTCAGGCTTACAGCATTGTTACTTTATAGCATACAATAATAATGCAGTATAATTCAATAATAATTCTTTACAGTAATAACACAGTATAATTCTGCTAATAAGCTCACCAGCGGCCGAGCGGTAGAGTCGCTGAACGCAGGTAGTTTGGTCCGAGGTTCGAATCCCGCAAACGAGCTGGCCGCATTGGCATTTTCGTGGCTTTCCCCATGTGTAACGTGTATACGAGCCAGTTTTCCTTAGAAACCAGTTTTAAAAAATCGTAATAAAATTAAACACACACACAAAAAAAAGAAAAAATCTGAACGTCTTTAGGTTTTATATTACTCTCAAAGAGCCTTTTTTTTTACCTTTTGCATGTTACCTTTATTTAACAAATATCACGTTCTTCGCACTCAAACCATTAAATTAAATTCAACAGCAATATCATATAATTTAAAAAGAGCATATCTTTAGAATTTCCGATACATAGTCTTGCACGCTAGAGATGAAAATGTTTTTATTTCCTCTCTTTTTTTTTTTTTTTTTAATCCATACAATGTTGCCATTGCTCGCTTTGAAATGTTGAGTTTTTTAATCAAACACTCATAAATGCTTTAAAAATATGGAATAGATAATAAAACAAATTTCCAGTTCTAAATTTGGGCCTCCAGATGCCTATATTAGGATGGAGGATTACGTTATTCAAAATTTCATGGCTCTAGGTACCGTTGTTTTATCAGAGTGCGAGAAACATTCATACATTTGTGCAGATTCCTCATTATTTAACTTCTTTAAATGTAATACAGTGCAATAATATTTGGTGGCAACAATTTGAAACATTTCTCGTGAAACACCACAAAATGGCAAAACGAAATTAATAGCCTTTCTGGGCTAAAACTTATTTTTAAAAGTAGCACACTAGTAGTAGTACTGCTACTGAAAAAATATTATAAAGCTACTTTATATTTTTATAATTTTTATTTTACAGTAGTGTGAATTTTGCTTAATAATGAACGACATTCCTTTTGGTGTTCACAGTATTGTTCGTAAGGTATTCAACTGTTAGATTTTAAAATAAACGTAATTCTTGCTGTACATAAATCGAGTAGAAGCTTATCGGATGTCTATATTTGTATTAAATGAAGAAGGTTTGTGTGCTTGATAAACTTATTATCTTCTACATTTTTAAAGCATATAATTACAATTTATATTCAGGGATAGTATAAATACCTTTCTTTCAATAGAAATTGCGTTCTTGTTTTCTGAACGCGGCTCCAATTTATCTGTCAGTTCATCGCAAATTAAAATAACTATAAATTTTGGCAATCTGAAATTCGCTATGAAAACATCTTCTGGCAGAGCAAAAGCATCAACATATTTTCTATAAATTCGGTACCAATTCAGAGATCTAAGACCGTATTCTTTGTTTAAATATGGGAAAAAAAAAAAAAAAAAAAAAAACAGCAGCGAAACCACATACAAAGCCTTTGTCTACTTAGTACGTCAACTGCACAACCCTGATTGACGACGCGGCAACACTTTTTCGTGCGCTTTCGACAACTTCCGTACTCAGAGAATATAGGATGTCGGGAAGACCTCTGGCGGCCCACAACTTGCTGTCGACTCTCGTAGCGTAGAATAACCGTCCTGAGTAATTGAATGTTATGGAAACCCTATTATGACATAATCAATTGCATGTTGCATTAAATTTTGAATGATGGAAAAAAAGATTTGTAACGGCTTGTGGTGTGGTCTCTAGTGTAGAATTGGGTGCCCCTTCGATTAGCAACAATTTTTTTTTAATTTTGGTGATGAAACCTCTCTTCTGGTTATTAACATCAGAGTTTTAACTTTCTTTTAGCTTCCTGATTTTATTTAAATGAAAATAGATTGATGTGTACATGGACAAATCTAAGGCAGTGCGCAATGCCTAGTTTGTGCAATTCTAGGTGAAAACAGATCCATGTGTACATGGACACAGGGATTGTGCAATTCTTTGACTTCTTATCTTGGTTTTGTGTAGCAGCCATCTTGAAATTGTGCCTTCCTGGCACCGATCTTGGCGTCAAAAAATAATCGCCAAAAAACAAGGGACACCCAATCGTAAGCTTTTACTGTGGTGTGTCTTGGTTAGGAAGTACATTGCTTGTTTTGTGGTTTAGATGGTAGAATGGCTGAATGTAGTAAGATTAATTTGAAGTTTCTGTATGATTTGGAACAAAAGAAAAATAGAGCATTAATTGACTGATGTGTAAATAAAGGTTTACCTAGTAGCCATCATAAGTGTCCTGTTTGTAGGAAGGAAATGCGTATAGTTGAACGTAAGATATTTTTTACTCTTATTTTTTTTTTAATTTATGTGGCAATGCCGATATAGGGATTCTAATTCAGATCATTTTAGGAAGTTTTTGGATGCTGTTAGAGATTTTTTGTGTCACAGTTTGAAGAAATTTCTAAATTAGATAAATGGATATTTGCTTTGTGTACAGAGGCTGTTCGCACATTTTTTAGACGATTTTGGTAAGCGGTAATAAAAAATCGTTTATTGCAAAAGAAGTAATTGCAAGTGTACTATGTTTCTAAAAGTCAAAATTATCGTCTGTGGCTTGAAAGTTTCGTTTTTATTCAAAATGGCGAATTTAACAAAGCATTGGTTCGAAGGCTACATTTACGCTCTTTCCGAAGAGAAATATGCATACTCTGTTATCCAAAAACGATGTGAGAGTCATGGTTTTGTGATATCTAAAGCGTCGATAGGTAATATCATCAACAAGAAAGGAAAAAACGTCAAATTGAAGCCTTAAGTGGAACAAAAATTCCAAACAAGTATGCAAAGAAAAAACGGACATCTTCGACTATTGCAAAGGTACGTTGTTTAATGTTAAAAGAAAATCCCCCTAGTCAAAGGACAGTTGCAAAATCATTAAAATGCTTGGTGTCCACTGTAAACAAAATGAAAAACGTCGATTTAAATCTTAAGAAAGCGAAAAAACGCAATGTGCTTCATCTTCTTCCAAAGCATATCGCTCAACACAGGACACGCTGCAGAATTCTATATGAGAAACACTTATCCAAAGAAAAATGGAAAACAATTGTCACAATAGATGAAGCATGGGTGTATTTAAATGATTGTAACAAAAAAAAGAGCCATTTATTATCATAAAAAGGGGAGAAAAAATTTGTTGCTGGTTTTTGTTATAATGGCAAGTTAAAAATAAAGAGAGTGCAAAAAAACATCAATATTAACTCCAAATACCATCAGGAACATATTTTATCACCAATTTTTCTGAATGAAATAGTATAGCTTTACCCACAGTGCCATCAATCTGTGAGACTCTATCAGGACAAAACTAGCAGTCACACATCAAATTCCACTGTAAATGTTGAGATAGTTCAGAATAAGGGATGTCAAATAGAACATTTAAAACACAAGAATTTTATGTAATTTAGTTTTGTGAATACAATATACATCACCTAAAAAATGTGTGAACAGCCTCTGTAGTCCTTAGATGCACCAGATGAATTTCCTTTTTCATGTTATTTTATTGTTTGATTTAAAAAGTAGTTTATCAAGATTTTTTTTTTTTTTTTTTTTTTTTTTTTGCTCTACTGTAGAATTGTTTCTTTGACTTAAGTGAAAATATATCGATGTGTACATGAACAAAGTCAAGGGAGTGCACAATGCCAAGTTTACGCAATTCTCGGATGTTTTTTTAAGGTAAAATAGGTCAATGTGTACATGGATAAAGTCAAGGAAGTGCGAAATGCCAAGGTTGTGCAATTCTCTTTTTTTTTTTTTTTTTTTTTTTTTAAAGTGAAAATAGGTACTTGTGTACATGGATACCGAGTTTGTGCAATTCTTTGACTTGTTATCTTGTATTCATGTAGAAAAATCGCCGCTACGCAAAGCCAAAATAACAAGTTAAAGAACTGCACAAGCTTGGTATCCCTGTACCACCCAAAATCAGTAATTTTCACCAACCAGTTTTTAGCTTACTGATTTTGTTTAAGTGAAAATAGATTGATGTGTACATGGACAAATTTAAGGCAAGGCACAATGCCTAGTTTGTACAATTCTCTGATGCTTTTTGAAGTTAAAATAGGTCGATGTATACAAGGGCAAAGTTAAGGCAGTGCGCAATACCTAGCTTGTGCAATTCTCTGATTTTTTTTTAATTTAAAATGGGTCCATGGGTACATGGACAATGAGTTTGTGCAAGTCTTTGACTTCTTGTTTTGATTTTGTGTAGCAGGCAGCACCATCTTAAAATTGGTGCTGATCTTGGCATCAAAACAGAGACGATTCGCTAAGGGGTACCATACAGCAAATTACCAAAATACTTTTACAGATCCTTCTGTAGTATGAACTTTTTTTTCTTTTTTTTTAAATTTCTGTAGCCAATTTTCTTGTTAATACATGTATAGTTAATTTGTTTTTTGTAATATGAATGCACTGCATGAAATTTTTACAAATGTATTTTTCCTAAAATAAATTCAACCTACGTAAGTTTTTTAAAAAAGGAATATCGACAATTCTATACATCAGAAAATGGACGTCACTCAAATTATGACTGTTGCCAGCTTTCTCCTGAAACTCTTTTTTAATTATACAGGATGTTTCAGAACTATTGTTGAGAAATGTGCAAAGGTCCAGAATATGATACACGCAATAACCATATAGAAACATAGGATTGCATATGCAACCCTGATGCTCTAAAGCAAGAAGCTGCATCTAAAGCAGTTTTTGCTCAAGCCTTAATCCCCAGACCTGTTTCCCATTAAGTTCTTTTTTTTTGCGGGGGGGGGGGGAGGGCTAAATGAAAAGCTTATTGTATGAAACAACTGTGGGATCACATATGGATCTAGTGAAGCGCATCATTGCCGAAAGTATTGCTGTTAATACATCCAGCATTCTGCAAATATTGGTCGATCAATGCATTGTAATTGTGAGGCAAGTACTGCATCTGCAAACCGCAACTTCGAATACCTGCTTTAACAGTTTCATTTCAAACAATGCTTTTGTGTTACTCTTCTGTGTCTAAGAACAACTCATTGTTTGTGAGGGTTTCTTTGGTCTTTAAGTCTCTGTCTTTGTTGGTGTGTAGCACATATGGGTTGTGCACAAGACCCTATGTTCCTTATATATTGGCTGCTAATATCGTCCAGACCTCTATGCACATTTCTGAACAGTAGTTCTGAAACTCTCTGTATATTACATTTTTAAATTTCAGTAGGAGGTAAATTGAAATTAAACATTTTAGACAATAAATTCATATAAAAAACAAAAAATTCTAGACATTTTCTTAAACATATTGCAATTTTTATTCCATTATCAAATAAATGCCTAATTACAGAGAGCCCTAATTATAATAACTTTACAATAAAAAATAAAAGATACGTGCATTACGTTGCTGTCTATTTAACGAAAATCTATTTCACGAAGTTTATTTGAAAAAAATTAAATTCAAATCAAAATTCTCCGATTCTTAGAATATTAACATACATCTTGTAGAACTGAACTTAAGCAAACTAGTGGTTTAAGTTCAGTTTTAAAGTGATATTTCGTTTGTAAATAGAAAAATACAAAACAGTAAATAACTATAGCATATTATAAATCACTTTAATATCAAAAGCATAAAACTTACCAATCTACACCGACTGACTTCATCATATGTAACATATGACAGTATTTTCTCGAGTACATCGTCTGGCATATTAAGTAAACGAATCATTTTATTACCTACCCACACTTCAAAACTATAACAGTAAAAATTCCACAGTCTTTTATTAACAATAAAAACTGTGCTCTCTTAGTTTTAAAAATTTCAAAACGACGGTAAACAAGTTACAAACTAAATCAAAACTTTCAGTTCTTAACATTCGCCATTAACATACATCATTATCCTCAAGACTAGAGCTGGAGCAAACCGCATGTGTTCGTTACTGAGTAACGGGTACATCGGTTGACTCGAAGTACCGATTCGGTACTCACAAATTCATTTCGTTACTCGCATCTGTCGTACGATGCGGTTTATTCTAAGGCGCCTATAGTTGGTGATTCAGCCTGGTTTAGAGGAGCCTTAGTTTACGAATACGAATGATGCGGTTCTATGGCGAATACGAATGATGCGGTTGCTGTTCGAATACGAATGATACGGTTGCTTCAAAATGCGCTCATAATTTTTATATATAATTTTGAATTTTTTGTGGCATCGGGCAAACACTTGTTTACATTATGTGTTTTAGTTGAAATACTATTTAGTTGTTGATATTTAAGAAAATGAGCAATTTTGATAGCGTGAAGCGTTATTTTGTATTTGCTTTTTACTATTGCTATTTATGTTTGTAATTTGAAAATTTAGATGATTCATCTTCTTTTTTTTTTTTTTTTTTTTTTTTTTTTTCCTTGAGCGTGCCATAATCAGATTTTATTGATTTGAAATATTTATATACTGCACTTAGGTATTGTTTATATAAGAATATGTAGGTTAATATAGGTTTTCTTTACTTCCTTGTATCAAATAAAAATGAAAGTAGTAATTTATTGATTTCGAGAAAACTTTTGGGTATCATATTTCAACGGAAATATCCGTTTTTGACGATTACGGAATCCATGTGAATTATTTTTTTGGGCTGACGCCTGTACGTACGAACACAATGAATGACTCTCTCTCTCTCTCTCTTTTTTTTTTTTTTTTTTTTCAAAAAAAACTTATTGTTAAATGTAATCCCATTTACTCTAAGCTGATACTTATGACTAATGATTATGACTCTAAGTTGATACTTGAAAGGGATTTTTTTCGTCATGTGTAAGTACGTATGTACTCGTATGCATTTTGCATAACTCAAAAACGGTTAGTTATAGAACGTTGAAATTTTGTATATGGGTCCGTTATAACATCTAGATGTGCACCTCCCTTTTTATTGCAATCGGTAATACTACCAAACGTATATATGTGTATATATATCAAATAAATTATAATTAAATGTAAAGTACATATATATATGTCCTTATAATTAAATGTAAGTACACCACACACACCACACACACATATATATATATATATATATAATAAAAGCCAAGTAAGGCGAAAATAAAAGCTTTGGCTTTTATTTTATTTAATTATCACTAAATAAGTTACTTGACTTTTATTTTCGCAATCATTGGTTGTAGTCAGGACTTAATTTTTAAAATTAGAAGTGCTGGAGCTCTATGGAAGGCCATCAGGAAAGATGAATAAATAAATAAATAAAAATAAATAAAATAAAATAACTACAATAATAAAATAATTAGCAACTAGAATATTAAATGATTATTATTATAATTCAATAAAAATTTAAAGACAAATGAAAATTTAATTAATTCTTAAATTAATGATGAATAACTAAGTAATGAAATAAAATACCAGACATCGTCTTGTTTGGGGGCTGTGGCTAAAATTGCAATTTAAGAACTAAGCCGAGCATTAGCTAAATTTAGGCTTTTGATGAGCAAATAATGTACTGTTTACCAGAGTATAGATAGAAATTTGGTTATGTAGCCCATTCTTCTAAAACGACGTTTCGTAGCTGCCTTCCACCACCAATTCCCCCCCCCTTTTTTTTTTTTCGGTTTCGGTTTATTCGGTTACAGCAAAGCACACTAGGCTATTGCCTACGGGGAGGGAGGCCTTCGTGTAGGATTTTTTAAAGGGAACTGACTCATATGCAAGTTACACACGGGAATAACAATGAAAACGCCCGTGCAGCTAGCCGTTAGCCGGGAATTGAACCCCGGACCGAACTATTAGTGCTCAGCGACTTTACCGCTCGAGCTCTGGTGGGCTCTTTTTTTCTTTTTTTTTCGATTTCATTCGCTGTTTGAAAAACGGGTGTTCACTTTACGATAAAGTAAGCACCTGTTTACTTCAATTAAAATGGGTTAGACGATATGACTCTTCCTACTTTAATCTCACTTAGCTTTTGATTTCTAATATTGATTCAATGTTTTCTGTAGACAAAGTATTCTGATTAGAATAATAGATTTCAAACATGTTCAAAAGGTGTGTATCTGAATATAATTAGGTTTTTATAACATAGGGCCCATTTTATTAGTTTCACATAGTTCTAAAGCAATTGAACCATAGCATCGCTGTTTTGAAAGAAAGTAAAAATGTGAGAAATGTATAATGAACATTAATATACATGCTTTATTAAAAGTAGTCAGCCTTTTAAAACGTGACCGTCTATGCTTTTAGAGGATTTTTGGAGCTCTGTGCATTTGCTCTGGCATCTTAAAAAAGTGATGTTCAATATCAACGTATGTTTATGTTCTCAAAAATACAGGTTTCTTTCAGAAAGCGACCTCTTAGAAGTCGTCAATAAATGATTCAGTATAGTTATTTTCTAATAGACCATAGAATAAATTTATTTTAACGTCAATTTAAAAATGGCTGCTTGTACTAAGAGTTAAGAGCAATAAGACTCTAATTTTTCTTTCGCAATTAGCTATCATGCCAGCTGAATTGTTTTCTGCATAACCTTTATTGTGTATAATTGAAATATTTAGCTATGCATTCAACAAATATACAACAAATGTAAGACAAATCATTAAAAAAATTAAAATTTGGAACATTAATGATAATTTTTTGTTATACATAAAATATTATTAATGAATGATGAATTTATATCATATTATATATAAATCAAAATTTAAACTCCTATTCCTTTATAATAAATTGAAGAAAAGCTATAAAGTGAATTAATTTTTAAAAACAAAACGAAAATTTAAAAAAAAAAATTTGTCATATACCTAGAATCTAAAAATGACGAATACTGAATTTTACGACTCATGTGTGTATGGGTGTATTTAATTATGGCAAGGCACACTATGGCTATCTGCCTAAGGGGGGATGCCTTCGTGGAGGACTTTCTAAGGGAAACTGGCTCGTATACACGTTACACATGGGGAAAACCACGAAATCACCCATGCAGCGAGCCCGTTCGCGGGATTCGAACCTCGGATCGAACTATCAGTGTTCAGCGACTTTACCGCTCTGCCGCTGGTGGGCCGTTTTACGACTCATATAATAATAAATGCATATTCATATTGTAACAGAAATTTTGTTAGAAGTCTAGCATATGTATAGTTATTTGTGATCTTTTAAAACTGTCGTAACATGATGCATATTTATCATTATCGTGAACCAAAACAGTATGCTTTACATCCTTACAAATATACGTGATAGATTTTAATATTTATTTCTGCATATACTTACGTTTCCCAAAGACACGAAAGCAAGTCAAGCAGATTTTTGTTGTATTAAGCAGACTTAAGTTCTCTGTTAGCTAGTGTAACATAATTTCGGATGTTAGTGTAACATAATTTCGGACTCTATGAGCCTTCCAGAATTATTAGCAAAATAGTGGAAACGTCTTTACAAAGTGTTTTTATAAGCAAACAGCAGATGTACACTGAGCAGTGATCAACTGATATATTTCTTAAATGATTTGGTTTAGTTGATTATGACAAAACACACTGGGGCTATGTGCCTAAAAGGAAAAATGCCTTCGTAGAGCACTTTCTTAGGAAAGCTGGCTCGTATGGTACGTGGTAAGCTGGCTTGTAAGCTGGTACGGGAAAAAAAACCACAAAACGCTTATGAAGCCAACCCGTTTGCCTGAGATCGAACTCAGGTCGGAACTACCAGTGTTCAGCGATTTTACCGCTCGACCGCTGGTGGGCCATTTCTTAAATGAATAAAGGTATACTCATAGCATACTGATTGAAATATTTAGTGCTTCACTATTATCTCTAAAAAGTAACATAAAACTTTCCTTACCTTTTATAGATTTCTAAATTTCTTTTAAGTTCTTATTCGTACTTAACCTATACATTTGCGAATGTTTTTATCGATTTTATTGTTAAGTGTAAAAAGCAAGTTGACATTTATAATATAGCATTCCTTGTCTCAACAAATAACAGTCTCAACAAGGAGTTTTTGGAGAGGGGATGAATCGGGGAAATTTCACCCTTTCGTCATTAGCGGTTCTGATGAAGGGAATGGGGGAAGCAGCAAAACGAAATAACGAATAACGGACAAATAACGAAAGCTAATCTTTAATGCGGTCTCCCATTTTCTGTATTTGTATTTGGGAAAGTTTTATGGTCATTATGAAAAAGTGAAAATTTGATATGGATTCCGCATGACCTTCCTTCTACGACTATTTAAATTATGCT